TTCTTTGTGTGGACTATGACACTCTGTTGTCTCTGACGTATATGACATTTTTATGTTTATATTTAACTGGTCACTATTTGTTGGAGTGACTTTCCCACAATTTTCATTTTCTTTGTTTGTATGTTATCTATGCAAGCTGGGTACTGGGCTCAATTCACTAGTTGACAGCACTTATACACTCACCAGCTCTCTCCTTTCCTATTGTCAGCCTCTCATATGTCCCTGTCAATCTTGGCAAACAGAGCCTCTTCTTAGGTCCCTGGAATCTGAATGAGAATGTTATCACTTTAAAATCCAAAATGGTTACCACTTGTAAACATTCAAGATGGCTGCACCCTCGATCACCTCAAATATCCAAAATGGCTGCCAATTGTAAACATTCAAATGGCTGTGCCCTTGGTCACTTTAAATATACAAAATGGCTGCCACATATAAACATTCAAAATGGCTGCACTCTCGGTCACTTTAAATATCCAAAATGGCTGCACCTTCCTGACAGCTGAAAGTCAACAGCTTAGGTTGTCTGCCTCCTTGCTGTTTCCCTTCCTAGTCATAGGCCACCAGCACAGTCATCCTTGCAGCCCTTGGTGACCAGGGCTAATCTTTAGGTCAATTCTCAGGTCCCAACACCACTTAAAAATATTCAGGCTGTTGGTCCCGTCAGAGTAGCTGGCAGTCCGCAGCTCCAACCATCTCTGTACTCACTGTTTTCCTTCAGGTTTTTCCACTAGTTTGTGCCTAATCCTCTTCTGTATAGTTCCTTTCAAAGCTCAGAGGTCCAGGATTATCTTCTGTATTTCTGTCAATTGGTTTTTCTTTTCTTTGTTGAAGAGGGTCTGTATCGTTTTCACACCTGGGAATCCTTACAGAACATACCAATACACTTGTAGAACCATTGTCTGCCAACCCTATACATGGTCTTGGGTACACTCCCTGCTGCATAGACATACCTAATAGTTCAGCCTATCCACCCATCTATCCACCCAAATACCCGTGTTTGCCTTCACTGACAATGCAGTACTGTATGTGCAAAAGGGTTCATCTTTGTTGTCTGCACCTCTCACGTACCTCTCTCCGTCTTCCTCTTCCTCAATGCCACCGTGTTGATCACCCACATTTGGTACACTGCCCTTCTCTTCACCCAAATCAATATTTATCTTCTCTACCTATCTAACAGTGTTCCCTACCCTACCTTCCCACACCTGGTAACCAACAAAAAAAATTTCCTTCCATATATAAACCATTCCTTGACTTTTACAATAATGGACTAATACAGTATTTGTTCTTCCATGATTGACTTATTTCACTCAGCATAATGTCCTCCAAGTTCATCCATGTTATGCGGCGTTTTGCAGATTCTACGTCATTCTTTAGGATTATATAGTATTCCATTGTGTACATGTACCACAGTTTGGTTATCCATTTCTCAGTTGATAGACACCTAGGTTGTTTCCAACTTTTTGCTATTGTAAATAGTGCTGCGATGAACATGGGTGTGCATGTGTCTGTTCTTGTCATGGCTCTCACTTCTTTAGGATATATATACCGAGTTGTGGGATTGCTGGATCAAATGGTATTTCTATTTTGAACTTTTTAAGGAATCGCCGTACTGCTTTCCACAGTGGTTGTATCATTTTACAGTCCCACCAGCAGTGTATGAGAGTCCCAATCTCTCTGCATCCTCGCCAGCATTTGTTATTTTCTGTCTTATTGAACTTTGCTACTAGTGCTGGGCAAGATAGTATCTCGTTGTTTTGATTTGCATCTCTCTAATGGCCAATGATTGTGAGCATTTCTTCATATGTTTGTTGGCCGCCTGAATATCCTCCTTGGTGAAGCGTCTATTCATGTCTTCTGTCCATTTTTCAATTGGATTATTTGTCTTTTTGTTATTGAGGTGTTAGAGTTTTCTATAAATTCTAGAGGTAAGTCCCTTGTCAGATATGTCATTGACAAATATTTTTTCCCAATCTGTAGGTTCTCTTTTGACTCCTTTGGAGAAGTCTTTGGAAGCACATAAAAATTTAATTTTTAGAAAGTCACATTCATCTAGTTTCTCTTCTACTGTTATGCTTGATAGTCTATTTATGCCATATGTTAGGGCCCCTAAATTTGCCCCTAGTTTTTGTTGAGGAACTCTGTAGTTTTAGGTTTCACATTTAAATCTTTGATCTATCTGGAGTTCGTTTTTGTGTATGGTGTGAGGAACAGATCTTGTTTCATTTTTCTGCAAATGGATCTCCAGTTTTGCCGGCACCTATTATTAAACAAACATTCTCTTCCCCATTTAATGGGTTTCGGCCCTTTGTCAAAGATAAGCTGACCATAGGCCGATGGATCTATTTCTGGGTTCTCAATTCTATTCCATTGGTCTATGTGTCTATCATTGTACCAATACCAGGCAGTTTTGACTACTGTGCCACACCATTTTTATAGGAGCCATTCACAGTAGTTCATTTGAGAGAGATCAAGTTTGCTGATGAAACTTAATCAAAACTGCAAAGTCCTGCTGCACACACGTCTGCTGAGGAGCACCACCCCCAAGAGCATCACTAAAATAAGATACAGAGTCCAAAATGTAAGGGCTTCAGAACAGTAACACTGAGGGATCTATTCTACTTACCTTCAGGATGGTGAAGGTACGTGCACAGGAATGCAGATATATGAGTATGCACATACATGCCTGTACAACTGTGCAGGGGGAGCTTTAGCACATGTAAGAGTACACACATATCTCCACATATGTAGAACCAGCATGGCCATCTGCTACATATATTAACACATGCAAACAATACTGCAGCTCCCAAAAGGAGAAAAACCTACCGTAGCAACTGCTCTGCCAACCCTGACAGCGCCAAAGTCATTAGGGTCCAGATATTTGTTACTGTAGAGGTAGAAGCCAGAGGCGGCAAGAGCCACACTGGTCCATGAAGCAAGCTTTAGAGCCCTTCTGGCCATATCACCAGTCCCTGCAAGAGAAAGAAAAGTAGAGAAAGAGCAACAGTTGAGGATTTCACAGTCACTCAGATCTAGGCTCAAACCCCGGCTCTACCACTTTACAGATCATATGACCTGGGTCATTTCCCTGATCTCACTAAACTTCACTTTCCTCATCTGTAAGATGGAGATGATACCTACCTCAAAGGCTGTTGGGATCATAAAATGAAATACATATATAAATGTTTAGCATACTCCCTGGCTCAAAGCATCTCTGAAAGATATTCTTCTTTCAACAATGTCAGGCACTGTTCTAGTCACTAGGGAAAGAGTGAAATGAATCTTACAATCTAGAAAAGCAACAGCTACAAAACAAATAAATATATATTAAGATATCAGCTGGTGTTACGTGCTGAGAAAAAAATAGGAAAAGGGCAAAGAGATTAAGAGTGATAATGGGATGCTACTTCAGATAGGGATGCTCTGGTAGCATAGTGCCTAAGGCACTTGACTGCTAACCAGAAGGCTGGCAGTGCAAACCCACCGAACACTTCTCCGAAGGAAGATGGGGCAATCTACTTCCTTAGTGATACTGCCTCGGAAACCCAAGGAGGGGTCACTATGAGTCAGGTCCAACTCGACAGTACATAACAACAATAACAACTTCAGATAGGGGAGGCAGTAGAACCTATTAACCACTGTCACCTGTAACTATCATGTCACAGCCATGCACACATAGACATTACTGTTGTCATGTGCTGTTGAGTTGACTGCGACCCACAGTGACCCCGGAGTGCAAAGTCAAACTGCCCCAGAGTTTCCTAGGCTGCAATCCTCACGGGAGCACATCACCAGCTCTTTTCTCTTGCAGAGCCACTAAGTACATCTGAACGACCGCCCTTTCAATTAGCAGCTGAGCACTGAACCAGTGCACCACCAG